TCTCTCTTTCTCTCTGAAGTTAGTCCTGTCTAAAATCCTTTCAAAATATTTAAGGTAGTACTGGCTAAGCAGTAATATTAGAAATTCATGGATAGAATGCTTGATCTTGCTTAATTAAGATTCTTTTTTAATTCATTTCCCTTAAATAGTTCTCTTTTCAGGGTAAGATGAAAATTTTAAAAGCCAGTGTACAGGCCACCGTGTCTGTTAATATTGATTCTAATATTGAAACTGAAGCTAATATGTGGTGCCTTAAGTTCACAGTAAGATCCTTTAACTGACCTGGTCTGATTTGGAATGAATCAGGCAGAGTTTTTAATCATGACACTCAAATATGCTCATAGGATTATATTTTTATGGTGCTTTGGTCTCTTGTCCTTTTAGAACTGAGCACTTACATACAGTTTCAAGAAAATAAGACTCTTGTCCTGTAAGGATCTTCCCAAACTGCCTTTGAATGATCATTTGTTTTTGAAGAGTTGAAGTTGTGTTACTGACTGTAAATTTTAATCTTTGTGTTTCACTGAACTTTTCAGCATCTTTCCACAGCTCTATCAGGAAACTTGTGTTGCCTATTTAGCTCCTGGGCATGAGCTTGGTGATTTCCTTGAAGTGGTGTTGAAGGGTTTAAAGTTACGGGTTTTGATTCCTACTGTAGATTACCATGTAGAGTTCTCTTCACTTGTCAGATGAAGGAAAAAACAGTTTGTGTAAAATATAGAAGGAAAATTTATGGAAAAACTGTTAGGTTTCCTCCTCGGTCTTGGAGATAAATTTGCAGTTTAAAGGATGCACGTGAGTTGCCCATAGGCCGGCAGTTTAGGTTGGATGTTTTAATGATCATTTATTTCAACACTTAAGTGACTTGGGGAAAAAGTAGATTTGCAGGAATGCTACAAATTACTTGGCTATAAATAGAATTTTTATGGGTTTTTGACAGTTTTTGAGGACTTTGAATCCCTTATCACTCCATACTATGGTAATAAATTTTCCGTATCAAGAGATGTGAGATAACCTGTTCAGCTCAAGTAGAGAGGTGCTGTCTCTAGGTTAACTGTTCGAGTCCATCTGTACATACAGAGCAGTCTTTCCAGGTTACGGCCATTGTCAGCAAGGGGTCCTTGCCTCTCATTTGGTGTGCTTAAGCACAGACTATTGTGCTTTTCCCTAAGCATTGTAAAATGTGTAATATTTGCTCATTTCAAGATTTACAGGTAGTGGCGGAATTCACGGTAGCTTTAGTCACAAACGAATGTCTACTTTTTTTCAAAAACAAGAAATGGCCTCAAGAACATCAGACTCACACTTCAGACGGTTATAGCAATATGATTCCTACTTTTTTTTTTCCCAAAGATTATATTGTGGTAAATTAAAAAAAACCAGTCTCTACTTAAAGTAATCACAATATAAATGAAGCCCTAGTATTTTCTTAAAATAGAAGATTGTACCAAATAACCTGTTGCCTTAGGTGCCTTGGGGTGTATGGCTGAAGCTTAAGTGCTCTTGTTTACCTGAGTAAAGGTTTAATTTTTTTTAGACATTGAAAAACATTTTTGCAAAGTGCCTTTCGGGAAACTGTGTGTGTTCAGAGGCTCACTTTTCTGCAAACTAAAAGCACTTAGACTGTAGGTGTTGGATTATCATGTCCTCCTCCTTTCCCCCTTCACTTCTTTGTCAAGACGTGTACGTTATCAGCAGTGCCATCGGTGTCCTGTCGGTCTCGTGTGCACTGCGCCTAGAAGGCTGAAGGTTCGGGGGAGGCTGTGTGCGCGTGTGCACACTTCACTCGATTGGAATGGTGACTTGTTATCAGTAATTAGAATGTCTATTTTCTGTAAGTTCTGTTATTAAAGTCTTTATTATTACAATCACTCTAAAGATTTTTGATTTTTGTTTAGCAGATTGTTTTTAAGCAATGCAGTTAGTGATTTATAGTATAAGGAAGTCTTTAGTCTACATCCATTCTAGTTTCTAAGGCAAGAGTTGAGGGCCTTGCTAGCAGAGATTTTCTAGCAGGCCCGCATTTTTGTTTTGTTGAGTCAATAAAGAGAGTGGTTATACATCCAAGGGATGCAGTTTTCCTGTGCTGGTCACCTTTATGGTATGATTAAATATGATTCATTTTTTTATTACACTCTTGAAATTGCAGAGAATGGTAGTTAGATGGCAGCCATAGATAGCCATGTAGAAGTTTTGATGAAAATTCAAGTTAATTTTAATACCAGATCAGTTATGGTTGGTGACTGTGGCCAGAGATATGCATGCTGATTCTACACCTGTACTAGTTGTTTAGTATTTGTGCGTGTATTCACCAGGTGTTTATTGACGGCCAGCCCTGTGCTAGGGACCCGTTTAGGCACTAGGGGGCAGTGGTGAGCCAGGCTGACAGCGTCTCTGCTCCTAGGATCTGACTAGGGTTTTCATCTCTTTTGGATGAGTAGTAATGACTGCTGTGACCCGAGGTAGTCTCGTGCTCAGGACAGTTGGGCACAGTTAACGGCTGCCAGAATCTGTCCCAGAAGCTTCCCTACAGGAAGAAACACTTTGCTTTGGCCTGGGAGGGTGGTCTTCCCCATCTGTCCACGCAGGAAGACTCCTGGCCTGGGACATGCTTCTCATCTTCGGGCCTGCATCCTAGTCACTCTCCTGGGCAAAACTGAAGCTCTTTTTTCTCCTGATTTCCCACTGTGCCCCCTTTACCAATCCTTTGGGTCTCGGGTTCGAAGCTGATGGTGTATTAACTCAGATACTGGAACATTTCAGAGCTAAAAATTGAAGCGAAACTGTTTCTAAGACGGGCGTTTCTGTACAGGTTGTTCCTCTGGGTGCGAAATAACAGGGATGTCCCCACATCATGTTTCTAATCCAGAGATTGAGTTTAGGGTTAGTGTTTTCTTGGGAAAGATTATTTATGGAAAAGTCGACTTCTCCCAAATTTAAGAATGTCACAGACTAGTCAAATTTCTAATAATAATAATGAAGTCTGGCAAAGGGGGGACTAATTTTGATTTTGCCAAATTGGGACATTAAAAAACCCCCTCTATTTGCTATTGCTACTCTTTCATTTTTTAAAAAAAGGGTATTTTGGCACCAAAAAGTAGAAAGGACTTCAAATGAAGGACAAACTTTATTCAAATTGAAATTAACCCATGTGGCTTTGTGTCGAATTCATTGAGTTGTTTCCCTATTTCTCATTTAGCTGTTGGCCAGTGAAAACAGAGCTGTCAGAGTTTAACTGCTTTTCCAGAATATTTGCTGTTAATTCTTCAGTTAAAATATTACCCAGGACACTGGCATTCAGTAAATATTTGTTGAGTGAGTGAATGACTACATAGAAACCTAAATTATCAGTCACATATCCAAATATCATTTATTATCTTGATTAGCATAGTCGTTAAATGTTCTTTTGAGTATGTCTATCCATAAATCTACCCCCGGAACCAGAGAATTTTGGAACATTGAGGGCGATCCTGTAATTCTACTGTCTGCATTAAGGCGATAGAGAAAGGGGAGGTGTGTGCTGGCGACTTTAAGGTTGTGCCTTAGTCTAGTCGGGACTAGAACTCCGGTCGCTGGAGAGTGTTCCATTATGTCCCACCAAGCTGGTAGGCAGCCCATGTGTTTACCCTCCATTGTGACTGCCACAAAAGACTAAGACATTAAGATAAAACACCTCAGTACCTTCTTTCTTTACCCTAATCTTTGATCTGCAGTTTTATTTAGAAAAGCTTAAAGATCTAGTTTTTCAAAACTACAGATAACAAGTAGTATGAGAATTTTCTTTTTTCGTAAGTGTAAAGAAGGGGAAGAAAATGTTTCCCCCTCCTCTCTGAGCCTGCAGGCCCTTGCTCTTTGAGGAAGTGGAGAGAAGGAAAGTAAAGCAGTGTGTGTTTTAACGTTGACTGTGGTGGGAGTGGTTTGCCTGTCTTTTTGTTTTCTTGGGTGGAATTAACTGACTTCAGTTAAAGGAGTTGGGACTGTTTAGAAACAATTCCTAGGCTTGCCATAGAGGTGGCGGGTACTGGCTTCAGAGGTTAATTCTTCTCCGAGTGAAAATTAGCTTCTAAATCAGAGCCTGCAGAGCTAAATAAAGTAATCCATTTTTCACCTGGCCAAGGCATAATGTGAAAGGTGGATTAAAAAATGAGGGGGTCCATTTTCTGATTAAAGACTCAGCCGTGTTGAATCAGCTGTGTTGCAGATTTTATTTCAGACGTGTGCATTCACAAGTGAATTGTGTCTGTACTTCCTTATTTATTGCTTGGACAAGGAAGGCCCTACTCAACGTTTGTCCAAGGCAGAAAGTTGTTAGAAGAACACTGGAATTTGGGCAGTGGATGGAGGTTTAGAATATCCAGTGAACCAACATATATCAGGGTTCCCCTCAGCCAAGCTGAGCGCCCGTTCTGTGGTGGTCTGTATTTCCTGAACCAGGAGAGGTTCCTGTTTTTGTGTGCTTACGTTGTTGACCTGTGTGTGTGTGTGTGTGTGTGTGTGTGTGTAATCTTCAAGTGTGCTTTTAGGCATTTGTGTTTCTTGTGTGTTTGTTTGTATATAAGAAGTTTGAAGCTCTGGCTTTTAAAATTTTACCTGAAGTGCTTTAATTGTCATCTTATTTTTAACAATTCTTTTAGTCTCTAGCTTTGTAGAGGCTGTTTATAAGAATACATGTGTGCATTTTAGTAGGCATTTAAAACATAGTCATCTGAATTTAACAATTTGTGTCCTGAAACTTGACATTTTAGATTTAAATCATTAAAGCGGCATGTTTGAAGTTTCTCGACCGGATGAAATTCTGGTGATTTGCGAAGTGTACTGATGGGATAAAATGCTCATGATTTCATTAACGCGTGTTTAACAGGACGCACCTTATTAGTTAAAAGTGAAGCAGTTGCATTAAGTTCCTTCTCTGCTCCATGGAAAAGCCCACTGTGAGTCATCTGCCCCAGCCTTCTGTCTCCTCTGACTAGCTAACAGTTGCTATTTTTTCCCTCCTCTAGGTTTTGGAAATCCCTTGTCTCCAGGTTGCTGGAATTGACTTCTTGCTCAACTGAATCACTCGCTCAATGGAGACAAAGAGAACTAATGCTTTGTGCTGACTCATGTTTGAATCAAAGCCTTGAGGAGTCTGTCCGCTTTGTGGAAAGAACCGGTGATCGTCTCTATCACTGAGCTTCCTAAGACTTCTGAGGAGAAGAAGTTGGAGGAATATACACTTTCTTTTGAACTTTTATAACAAATATTTGCTCTAGTTTTGAAGCCCAGGGCTGCTGGGGGTGTGAGTGACAAGTCTTACAAGTGGCCTTATTCCAACTCCAGAAATTCCTCAGCCGGATTCTTGTTTTATATACAATCCTTCCGTGACAGGAAACATGCCAACTCAGTCCCTCTTAGTGTATATGGACGGACCAGAAGTTATTGGCAATTCTCTTGGCACCCAAATGGAGATCGATGATGCCGTGTCAATCAAAGGGACTGCGGTTGTTCCTTTCAGAGCTACCCAAGAGAGAGACGTAGCCCGGATGGAAGGCTGTGCGCCCTTGGACTGCATGTTTTGCAGCCAGACCTTCACACATTCAGAAGATCTTAATAAACATGTCTTAGTGCAGCATCGGCCTACCCTTTGTGAACCGGCCGTTTTGCGTGTTGAAGCAGAGTATCTTAGCCCTCTTGATAAAAGTCAAGTGAGAACAGAAGCTCCAAAGGACAAGAATTGCAAAGAAAATGAAGAATTTAGCTGTGAAGTATGCGGGCAGACATTTAGAGTCGCTTTTGATGTTGAGATCCACATGAAGAAACATAAGGACTCTTTCACTTACGGGTGTAATGTGTGCGGAAGAAGATTCAAGGAGCCGTGGTTTCTTAAAAATCACATGCGAACACACACTGGCAAATCGGGGGCCAAGAGCAAACTGCAGCAGGGCTTGGAGAGTCCAGTCACAATCAACGAGGTCGTCCAGGAGCACGCAGCCGAGAGCATCTCATCGCCTTACAAAATCTGCATGGTTTGTGGCTTCCTATTTCCAAATAAAGAAAGTCTAATTGATCACAGGAAGATGCACACCAAAGAAACTGCTTCCGGTACCAGCAGTACACAAACAGACTCTCAGCAGGAGGGAAGGCCATCTCCGGGGGAAGAGTTCCTGCAGTTTTTTAACTTAAGACCAAAATCTCACCCCGAAACCATGAAGAAGCCCGCAAAATGGATACCTCAGCTCGATCCGTTCACCACCTATCAGGCTTGGCAGCTGGCCACCAAGGGAAAAGTTGCCGTTTGCCGAGAAGTGAAGGAACAGCCCGGGCAGGAAGGAAGCACCGACAACGACGACTCATGTTCAGAAAAAGAAGAGCTCGGCGAAATTTGGAATGCGAGTAAAAGCCATTCTGAAGGTTCTGGAAAGTCCAAAACAAGTAAAAGTGGTTGTACAGGCCTCTCACAAGATAAGGAGAAGCCTAGACACTCTAACGGTGAAGTGCCTTCCGTGGATGCTGACCCCAAGTTAGCCAGTAACAAAGATAAGCCCACTCATTGCTTCGAATGTGGCAAAGCTTTCAGAACCTACCACCAGCTGGTCCTGCACTCCAGAGTACACAAGAAGGACAGGAGGGCGGATGCTGAGTCGCCAACCATGGCAGTCGATGGAAGGCAGCCTAGGACGTGTTCTCCAGACCTAACCACCACCCTGGATGAAAATGGAGCCATCGATCGTGAAGTTGGCTCTGAAGATGGATCTGAGGATGGACTTCCAGAAGGGCTCCATTTGGGTAAGCTGCTCCACCGCATGCCGTTCCCTCCTCTGCATCCCAGAGAAGGCGGGCAGGTTGGGGGGTTTGGAGAGCTGGGTTTGAGTCCAGGCTCTTCTGGGTACCACCCTGTGGTCAGTCAGTTAACCTCTCTGGGCTTAATTTTCTCATTTCTGTAACAATAGGGTTGAGTTAAAAGGCTTAAAGGTTTCTTCCTGTTCTGAAAATGCTGTGATTTTCTATTTTGCTAACAAAGGACACACATTATTTCAACTTACACATCAGTCTAAGGCAGTGCTTCTTAACTGAGATGGTTGTGCCCCCAGTGGACATTGGGCAATGTCGGAGATATTTAGGGTTGTCACAGCTGTGTGGGTGTGTGTGCTGCTGGCACCCAGTGGGTAGAGGCCAGGGATGCTGCTAAACATCCTACAGTGCACAGGACAGCCTCACCACAGAGAATGGTCTGGCCACAAATGTCAGTAGCATCAGGGTTGAGAGACCCTGGCCTTCAGTTAAGTTTTTCTGGCATTCCTGATCTTATCTATAAAAACAAAGTTACCCTTCTAGGCAATGAGCTTCCCTCTCTGTCAAGGCCCAGCTCTCATATATTTATTCCACATGGATTTTTAGTGGTCACAAGAGCTCCTGGGAGTGATTATCAACCAGAGCAAGAAATTACTGTTAGAGACACCCTCTGCTGCTGCCTTTTCCCCTGTCCTTTATGTCTGGGGGGCTGGTATTCATTAACAATTAGCTCAGTAACTAAGTCTGTGAAATAGAGGGAATGTGAACACACCAAAGATGTTAAGAAATCTCATTTGCTCAGTCAAATTTTTAAGGTACTCAGGGCTTTATAGGAAACAGAAGCCATCACTGAAGGCCTGTTGACGTATTATTTCTTGAGTCACAGTTGGCATCATCTAGGGCAGAGGGTTCACGTCTTGCCCACCCTCACTTCAACCAGAGCTTCTCATATCTACTTAAGATTTTGTTTGAATAAAGGATTCTGCTGCTTGAAAAGAGTTAACAAACCCCTGCTTCATCAACAAGTGAATGATGAGAATGTGAATTAGTCTTAGAGAAACATTATCATTTACAAAAGTGGTCTTCAGTTAAAACAAGTGCCTGCTCCTTTCATTGTAACTTGATTGTGTGTTGGTATCTTCTGAGAACTCTGTGTGACCAGATAACACAGTGGACTCTTCTCTTAAGCCAGTGCCCAGTTCTTTCTCTGATCATGTGATGGATATGAGAGTAGTAGTTTTCATATCAAATATTTAGAACGTTTTGGTTCCTGGGACACAGGAACCCTAGTGCTTATTAGCGAACTGCAGTCTTCAGTTTTCAGAAGTCTAGAAAACACATTATGGTGTCCTGATGACATCATAAAAAAGGCTTTAAACACAGACCTCTAGTCTTCTAAGTGATTTCCTTTTAGTGTCAGGACTGTTCAGGGGCATAATGGGGAGATAATGAGGCCCAGGAGATGCCTCAGTGCCCTCCAAGAAATGGTCAGTCACATTCTGCCAGTAGGTGGTGTGGGCACAAGACTTGGTCACCAGGCACGTAGAATACCTGGTACGAGCTGGGAGCGCCAAGTCTTGGGTTTAGTCTGGTTCTACCACTGTGTTCTTGAGTACATGTTGCTTAACCTTTCTTTGTCCTCATTTCCCTCTTTGCAAAATTGGCTCATGACCCTTGTCTTCCACCTCCCAAGGATAATTTCCACAGCCTATTTCTAACAAGTTCACAGTCTTCTAAAGAACAGCACTGTAAAGGCAAAGGTGATGTCAAAGGAGCAGGAAGCAGGTAGATGCGGATGTTTCATGGCCTTTGTGTTAGAAGAAAGGCATTTCACAACTTTTTGGATATGATGCAACATACCATAAATCCTGACACATAGCTGGAAGTAGGAAATTGCACTAAGAGGAGGCCCAGCTATAAACTAGCTAGTTGGGTGTGGCTGTCAGAAAGAAAGCTGCGCCTTCTGTATTAGGGAATTGATTTTCCTAAATTTAGATTATGATGTATCTCGGTGTTATTTACTATCAACCTGGCTATTTTTAGATTGCCTTTTAAGATCAAAAAGCAAAGAGAATAATGTATTTTTTATTTTTTTCAACTTGTATAAATAGGTTTAATGATGGTTGTTGATGTAAATTATTTTTTAAAGTCTTCATGATACCTTTTGAGATCAAGGGCTGTCCCTGCTGTTTTAGAATGTCCAGAGGGGCGTAGAGGTGGCGAGGCGGATACATTTTCCTCAGAGGGGTCTAGGGGACAGAAGGTGCAGTCCTTTCTTTACTGCACGGGGAGGCTCGCCAAGGTTCACGCATAAGCTGCTTTTTAAAATCGGTAAACTGTAAATGATCTAGAATGCAAAATGTGGAAGGAGCAGGGAAGAGGCCTTTTAGTTGGAAATAACAGTTTTCAAGGCAAAATGACCAGCTTAGTAATGCTGCATTTTCACAGATGACCTGCTTTCTGTTGTAGTCATACTGTAATGTATGTAGTCTGATAAGAGGAAGTTTATCTAGAACTTAAGTATTCGCTTTTGGGGAGCAGGTATCTCGACTGTAGTGGATCTAATTGTCTCTTGGAGGCTGGTGTTTGTGGTATCATCGTCCTTTAATTAGTGTCCCAATGGACCTTTACTCTGTTGCACACGAGATACACTGTCCTGATCGTCCTGCAGAGATGGAAGCTTAAAGTTTAATGCATAGTCATTTGGGGACAAATTTTGGTTTGTCAGGTATATTTTGCCCCTGTGAGTGTTGGTGGACAATACAATCTGCTTTCTAAAACGTTGCTAAATTTTGACAAACTTTCCTAGGTGATTGCCCAGTGCCAAACTTAGTTTCTGTAAAGATTAAGTTGTGCTTGCTACCCTCTAGTGGTCACTTGTCTGATCTTAAGATAAAAAAACCTTATTCTTCCCTGGTGGTTGGGAAAATTGGCAATTTACATTGGCTCCGTTTTCTAAATTACTTCTTTGAAGAAGCTGGCCGTCCTAGCCAGGGCATGCAGGTCCGGCGTAGTTTGCCAGGTCCTGCTCGGCTCAGACATGTTGGGAGGACAGAAAGCTGCCCGTGCATTTCACTGTATAAAATGATCTTTTCTTGTGATTAAGGCAAAGAGCTGAATCTTTAACAGCAAATTCTGCAATACTCAGGAAAAAAAAATGCACACTTGTTAGAAAACTTCAAACAATCTCAAAACAACATTTGGTGTGTTTTTAGCCTTTTTAGTTTACCCCAACACTAACATAAAAATTATTTTATGCTTTCCAAAAATGCTTCTATCAAGAATATTTGTCAGCTTGCCTTGTTCGTGTACTTGAGCTGCCTTACATAAATATTTTTGTTTCTGCTTTAAGATAAAAATGATGACGGAGGAAAAACAAAGCATCTAACATCCTCGAGAGAATGTGGTTATTGTGGAAAGTTTTTCCGTTCCAATTATTACCTCAATATTCATCTCAGAACGCATACAGGTAAGGAACTTAGGTTTTTTTAAAGCATGTATTAGTTCAAAGAATTATGATGTGGTTCTGTGTCTTTTTTTTTTTGGTTCAGAGATTCTGCTAGATCCTTGGACTAGCTGCAGAATAAATGTGTAGCGTGCAGATTGCAGCTGTCATTTTAATTCTTTCAGTGTCACTGCAATGCGAACTGTTTGTGTTTTGAAGTCGGTTTCTTGTTTAGTTTCTGACTAATGTATCCTGACTCATCTTATTAAAAACCTCTTTAATATTTTTTAATGCCACAGCTTTTTTGTGTTAACTTTTATGATTTAGAATAAAATGAGACTATATTCAATAGTCTTTTCTTTGGATGGTAGAAGCAGCTGTAGTCTGCATAACGGTTTCGGGGGCTGTGTGCACTCGAATTTCTTCTCTTCCACTCATGAGCTGTGCAACTTGGGGCAAGTTATTGAACCTGTCAGCAACCTAGTTTCCTTAGCTGTAAAAGTAGGATAATAATACTCACTTCTACAGGACTATTCTGAAGATTAAATGAGACTAAGTCTAAAGTGTGCGCTTTTATTTTTTTAATTAAAGATGTATTCATGTTTTCAGATACTCACATAGTAAGGGTTTAAAGCAAAGAACTCACAGGTAATCCTGGATGTGAAATTAGTAGATAGAGACGAGAAAAGGAGAGAGTCCTGTGTTCGCTCTCTCTTAGATTCTAGTTTCCAAAGATCTATTTTGATGCTTTTCATAAACTTCTGTAAAATAGTGACATTTCTTGTTTTAGGTGAAAAACCATACAAATGTGAATTTTGTGACTATGCTGCAGCCCAGAAGACCTCTCTGCGGTATCACCTGGAGAGACATCACAAGGATAAGCACATCGATATTGCCACCGAAGTCAAGAACGATGGGAAGAACCAGGAGACCGAAGAGGCGCTCCTGACCGCCGACAGTGCGCAAACCAAAAATTTGAAAAGATTTTTTGATGGTGCCAAAGATGTTAAAGGCAGCCCACCTGCAAAGCAGCTTAAGGGGATGGCCCCTGCCTTTCAGAACGTTCTGGGCAGTGCTGTCCTCTCACCAGTCCACAGAGATACTCAGGATTTCCATAAAAATGCAACTGATGACAGTGCTGACAAAATGAGCAAAAATCCTGCCCCTCCTTACTTGGACGTGTTAAAAAAGAAATCAGCAGTTGAACCTCAGGCAAATAACCTTCTCTGTAGGGTAGAAGTGGATGTTACTCCTCGTGCAGACAGCAGCACTGCCCACACTGGGGAAGTCGGCCACCAAGAGAAGAAAGTAGAGATCGCACCGGACTGCAAGTACAAGCCAAGCATGGACTGTCAAGAAAAACCTTTAAATTTATCCCTTGGGGCTCTTCACAGTTGCCCAGCAATTTCCTTGAGTAAAAGTTTGATCCCAAGTATCACCTGCCCATTTTGTACCTTCAAGACATTTTATCCAGAAGTTTTAATGATGCACCAGAGACTGGAGCATAAGTACAACCCCGACATTCACAAAAACTCGAGGAGCAAGTCTCTGCTTAGAAGTAGACGTACTGGATGCCCACCAGCTTTACTGGGAAAAGATGTGCCTCCCTTGTCGAATTTCCAGAAGCCCAAGGCCAAGCCTGCTTTCCCGGCGCAGCCCAAGTCCCTGCCGGCGGAGAAGGTGAAGCCGAGCCCCGCGGGGCCAGGCAAAGCCGCGCTCACTTCAGGGATCGACTCCAGCACTTTAGCTCCAAGTAACCTGAAGTCGCACCGGCCCTCGCAGGGGCCCGCGGCCCGGCCGGCGGCCGAGATCTTCTGCAGGCCCAGCGCCTCTCCCGCCGCGGAGAAGACGAAGCGGCCCGAGCCGAAGCCCAAGGCGCCCGCGCTGGGCTCCAGCCCCGCCGAGCTCCCCGCGCCGCCCGACGGGCCCTGGGCGCCGGCCGCCAGGGACTTCTTCTGCGGCCGGGGCGCGGCCGACTTCGGGGAGCCGCTGCCCAAGCGGCCCAAGGGCGGCGCGGCCGTCGACGAGCAGCCCGTGCCCAATTACAGACGCGGCTTCGAGCTGCCCAAGTACCACGTGGTCCGCGGGATCACGTCGCTGCTGCCGCAGGACTGTGTGTGCCCGCCGCCCGCCGTGCTGGCCCCCAAGCCGAGGTTCCTGGGCTCCGGGGACGCGGACGCGCACGTGCTCCCGGTCCCGAAGGCCTTCGGCGGCGCCGGGCTGTACGGCTGCGGCCCCGCGGGCGCCCCGGGCGCGGCGCTGGAAGGTACGGCGCTGGCGCGGGCCTTCCCCGGGGGGAGCGGCGAGACAGTCAGCCTTAGACGCGGCCGTGCCAGCCCCGCAGGATGGCGGCGTCTTCCTGCGTGTCTAACTTGCCCTAACTTTTCTCCCTTGTGGGGTGATAATGGACAGACTGGCAGAGGACCACGGGTCTGATCCCTTCTCGTCCTTGCTGTTGAAATTTCGAGTGTCATGTGGCCCAGCTCACTTGCCTTCCTCGCGTCTTGTTTTCTCCTTTGCATGCTGTGGTGTGCCCACGCTCAGTCCCAGCCTCGCTCAGGAGTGGGCATTCGGGGGCTTGCATCCGTGTCTTACCACCCCCGCTAGACTGAACTCCTTCTGAGCGGGAAAGACACCTTAGATAACTCGGAATTGCATGCAGCCCTGTCACATGGCCCCCGTGAGGGGCTGCTCAGTCAGGGCCACATGAAGACCCTTGACCTGTCAGGACCAGAAAGTGTAAGAACTGCTGGTGAAACAATCTTTTGAGCGCTTTTGATATTAGGGCTTCTAGAATTATACCGTTTTTTCAGCCTTTGTTAAACATGAAGTGAATTTTAAAAGCAATGTTATTTCCCCATATATATATAAATTGTTGCGCTTGTAGATTACTTTGGCATCCTCCCCATGGAATTTTTTTTGTGAGGAAGATTTGCCCTGAGCTAACATCCGTTGCCAGTCCTACTCTTGTTTCTTTTTTGCTTGAGGAAGGTTAGCCCTGAGCTAACATCTGCGCCAGTCTTCCTCTACTTTGTATGTGGGACGCCTCCACAGCACGGCAGATAAGTGGAGTAGGTCCACACCGGGGATCCGAACCTGTGAACCCCAGTCCATGAAAGTGGAGTGCCTGGAACTTTAACCACTCGGCCATGGGGTGGTCCCCGTGGGATGTTTTTAAAGCCCCTGCTTCCTCATGGCAGCATTTCGTAGAGGCTGTGGCACATAGACGTGTGCGTGGAAAGGTGGATCAGAGTGTCCTGGGACAAGTCTGCTTGGCAAACTTGATTAAACCACCATGCCTTCCTCTGTTGGGTGTAAACTGCTGATTTCTGTTGCCCAAAGAATCAAATCCATTTAAAACCTCTCAGTTTGTATTAATTTCAAATTAAAGATTCTGTGTGGTGACACCCCTCTATCAAGGATAGCTCGATGCCAGGTGATCTGGTAGAGACAGCAAATTAGGAAACAGTTGCTTTCACACACTCCAGTGAATTTTATAAAAATTATGATGAAATAATTTTTGCTGCCTTTTGATTAAAAGCATCCATTTTCCTCCCGTGGTGCTTAAAATGGACATGGGTCAAAATTTTGTCTCTACTTGAAGAGAAAAGGCTGTGTGTTGCGAGTGAAATCCTGTTTTGAATTGATATTTTTTCTTTCCTTCCGTGTAGTTTGGGTTCATGATGCATGTAGGTTCCAAATATTTTATGCTGCCATTTTCTTTTGGCTTTTTAGTTCTTAGTAATGACGACCTACTACTTAGATAATTTTAGCTTTAGTGACTTAAAGTTTTGTGCTAACAAATGCCTTCAGGGCACTTAGAAACATTGCAGCTGTAACTTTATAACATGGGTACCACGTGGGTCCTGATCTCAATAACGGTTAGGAATTTTGAAAAATTGACGTCTAACAGCCCACACACGTCTTACCTAATTGCTTGAACTTAATTCTGAATGCCCTTTTATGCTTTTTTTTTTCAACCAGGAAAAAGGCCTGTGTCATATCAACACTTATCTAGCAGCATGCTACAGAAGAGAAACTATGAGAATTTTATTGGGAATGCACATTATCGACCAAATGACAAAAAAACTTGATTTCCTATTTTGGGGGAAGAAAGGTGAGCAAATATAACGTATCTCTTTTATTTAATTGAAAATAACTTATCTAATATAAAGTAAAATTGCTTTTAGTTTAACTTTTTTTAGGTGTTTAAAAACAGAGCTCTCAGGGTAAAAATAATAATAGCAACTGGAATTTGCTAAGCATTTTGTGCCAGGCATTGGACGAAGTATTTTATAAATCTGACCTCATTTAATCCTTACAAGCAGGGGGTTTAGGCCATGGATTAGCACACTGTCCTCTGTTTTTGTCAATAAAGTTTTGTTGGCACAGAGCCACATCCATTCATTTATGTGTTGTCTTGGCTGCTTCTGTGCTACAAGAGGAGAGTTGGGTACTTGTGACAGGGACCGCATGGTCTGCAAAGCTGGGATTGTTTATGGTCTGGCCCCATACGGAAAGCGTTTCCTGACCCCTGGGTTGGGAGGTCCTGTGCACACTTCACAGATGAGGAGACCAACTTGAATTATGTAACTGCCGGAGGCTGCATTTTTCCTGGTTTTTGTCCTAGATCTGCGTGATCCCAAGCCTGTGTCCCGCCCCTCCAGATTAAGAGCTTGTTCCAAGCCTTTGTAAATCTTTCTCTCTTGGGGGAGGAGAGGAGACAGGAGCAAATAGAAGGATTATTTTAACTTTTTGGTTCACATGGCAAATGTGTCTAACTGACGAGTAACTGCAAAACACTCAGTTGTATGCACGTTTGTTTAGTTTATTCCAAGTTAGGGCAGGGAGTGTGATGTCTGAGTTACACTAGGACTCATTTACCAATAAATTGAATGAAAAGATTGGAGCGCATGGGCAGAATTTCGTTCTCTTGGATAACTCTTGTCCTGTCAGACCACCACCATGTAGTCATGGAGTGGTCTGTTGACTGAGTGCCCGCTGCCCTAGATACAGAGATGAAGTGCTCATGGTCCAGGGCGGAATCTCTCCTTCCCGTTTCCACTGGGACACACATGGGTCAAAAGCCTTATGCAGTTCTACATTCTTCTCTCCCACTCAGAAATGAGAGGGAGTAAAGTGAGATTAATTTAATCTCGGCAGTGAGATTAAATCTATCCTACATTAAAACATAAAAATAAATAGTTTATGGGTTAAAAGGAGTAGATTATTAGTTAACAGATTCCATGCACCATACAAGTCACAGCAGATAGCAAATAGTAACTGTGCTATTTGTCCAGCTCTGGCCTCTTGCTGCAACCTTTGGGCTTCTCTGCTTGCATTTCCCTCTATCGGAACATCTTCCAGCTCCCTCTTTCCCTAACAACTTCCCTCTGACACTTCAGGACCAGCTCACATGTTGTTTCTGCAAAATGTTTGCCAGGAGCTGGTGGCTTCCGCATTGATGTTCCCTTTGCACGTGTGGTTCATACCCATTTTCAGCCATCCCAGCTGCGTGTCTGTCTTCCACTCCTAGCTGAGCCTGGGAGATCACCTGCGTTCAGCACCTAGCCCTGTGCCACGAATAGCATCGGTACCTCGATAGATGTCGGCTCCGCAAATGTTTAAGTTTGAGGCACCCTCATGGGGAGAGGTTATATTTGTTTTGTTAAATACTCCTGGTCCACTCCATACATTTCCTTTCATAAGGTAGCAACTGTCAGAGTTTCTTGGAGGTGGCAGTTCCCTTTGCCAGACTTAGTGTAACTGATAGAAATTCTGATTCTTGGTTAAGTTGTCTCGTTAATGCACCCTGAAGTATATAGTAGCATCTCCTGAGTGGTGCACCAGCATCCTTCCTTTAGTCTCCCAGGACTTTCATTGCACAACTCAAGCTTAAATGGAACCCATTGCATTTCTAGAGCCCTTCGGTTTTATTTATTTGTTTACTATGCTGTATTTTAAAGATTTTTAAAAATTGTGTTCAGTTTTATCTTAATCACTTTTTTTCCCCCCTTAGGTCCTGATGGATACAAGTGTGTACTCTCCATGAAATAAATTAGTTCATCCTTTGAGAAGGCAAATGGTGAAAGCTACTGAAATAAGCTGTGATTGTACTGTACATACAACAGATGAGGAACACTACAGTTTTGTAAAGTTGTTCTGTTAACTTTTGTACCAAATAGCAATAAAAACTATAGTTGGAACAGTTGGGGTATACACAAATAGAGACTGGAAATCTCTATTTTGTCCCTGAATAATATTTTTTTTAGAATTGACCAAATAAGAAGTGGAGTTTTTGCATACTTGAGCGCTGCTGAAAAGAAATCATTGGGGTTGGGGGTGGGGTGGGGAGAAAGTATATAACGCTTGCACCTCAGGTAAAGTGTAAATACATAAGTTGTAAACCTGCTTGTTTAAATCCTGTGTGTATTTCTTTTCTCTCATGTAGCTCATCACTTTGAGCAGTTTCTGCTATTTGTGCTCTTTCATTTAAAATGTTTTTAAAAAAATTTCTCAATGATTTGTATTATGTTAAATCCTCTGCAGTCTATTTGTTGTCTTAACAAAATTGTTAGCGGAAGTATTGACCCTCTATAAATATATGCTGCATATATTGAGGTCAACCATCCTGAATTTGGTGCCCTTTTATTGCAAATTTCGGCATGTCGACTGTGGAAGACTCCAGATTCTGGATGCTTTTCTTAGGGACTAGGGTGGTTTGTGGGATTTTTAAGTGCACGTGTCTACAAAGAAGCATTTCCTCTGTAGAACAGCCAAACAGCCAGTAAACGTACGAAACTGTATGTAGAGTTACTTCAATTTGTTTTCTATGAAATTAATCATTTTTGTTGGAAAATTCAGTTTTTTGGGCATTCTTGTAAATTAGTATATAAAAATGTAAACGCTAAATTCTACGTGTGAGTTACTTATATTGGAAGCAATTTTAAAGGAAATGAAAGTTTCTGGGTGAATTTTAGGTTTGTATTTGGAATCTTGGTGTGTCTGGCATGTGGGTTAACTGTGGACATACTCAAGTTGATTACAGGCGCGTTGATTCGGAGGAAGGAGCTGCGTGGCTGAGCCTTCTGGTGATCTGGGAAGGAGGTCATCTGTTTCCAGACCTTGGTCGTCTTCCCATTTTTGGTTGTTTTGAAGGAGCAGCATTTTTCTCCGTGTACATGCAATTTGGGTTTTAAGCAAAGACAGCCACCAGCTGGCTTGCTAGCTGTTTGAAACTTTTGTTCCCTTAATGTGCTGCCTGTCCGTGGCTGAGTTTATTCAGCAGTACGTGGGTTTAGCAACCACAAGATATTTTATTAAGAAAACTGTTTCAACAATAAATTTGCACTGTTAATTTTTCTTGCCCTGCCCTTCTCCATTAGAGCAAGGTTGAAGTCCTAAAAGAATCCTGATTTTGTTTTCCCTTTGCTTTCTTTTCATTATGCAACATGAAGCGTACTTGACAGAGAAGTCTTAACTCCTGGGTTGAAGGGAGACCTAATTTGAGATCAGTCTGCTGGCCTTGCAATGAAGTGCTTTGTATCAGGAAAGTGTACACTATTTACCTGTTTTCCTGTTCACAAGCTGAGCCATATGTACATAATCTAGATTTTTGTTTTCCTAGTTTTGCACTTTTATAGCCTATTTTTGAAGATTAACACATTTGCAAGATGATTGACTTGATCTTTGTCTAATCCGATGAGTGTTTCAGAGAGCTCGCTGTGAGTGTAACCGTAAATCTTCAAAGGGGACGTGTGACAACAGAGGGCTGAAATCTAAACCTGTCTTTAAAAAAAATCACCAAATCTATTTGAAAACAAGTCAGTTTGTGTTATGCTGAAATTTTGGGGGCTTTCATATTTCTCCTTTCTAACCACATTTCTGAATGCATAAAAATATCAGTTTTTGTCCCACAGCCCTTGTACTCCAAAATATATTTTTTTTGTCCATCAGTATTAACTATTGGGATACTACTGGTTTTGTATGTTTTTTTCCTTTGTGACAACAGTGCATATATAATAGAGGTACAATCCGTTGGACTTTTGTTTGTGTATTTATTTCATTCCAGTTTGATTTATTTTAATTGTTGATACTTAAGTTGTCAAACCGTAGACATTACTTGTTTTATTTATGATATATTTCAGCTTAAAGTTATGTTATTATATGTGGATGTAAATATAGATTTGGTGTTTTGCAGTCTCGGGTCTTGGTCTTTATTGTGTTCCTGGTTTCTGATTTTGTTCCATTTATCTTTTTATAAACACAATTTTAAACATACACAAGAGTTGAGAGATTAGTATAATTAATTCCCATGTGCTCATCAGCAACATTTTGCCCATCTTTTTCAGACTCCCCACTGCTTTCCCCTCAGGATTCTAAAGATTTTTATTTTTCCTTTTTCTCCCCAAAGCCCCCCGGTATGTAGTTGTGTGTTTTTAGCTGTGGGTCCTTCTAGTTGTGGCATGCGGGATGCCGCCTCAGCATGGCCTGATGAGCGGTGCCGTGTCTGCGCCCAGGATCCAAACTGGCGAAACCCTGGGCTGCTGAAGAAGAACGCGAGAACTTAACCACTCGGCCACGGGGCCGGCCGCCACCCCCTGATGATTTTAAAGCAAATCTCAGACATGATTTAATTGATCCCTAAAATCCTTCAGTATGTACTCTAACAGATCAGGGCTTTTCCCGATTCACTGACCATTGACGTGGACAGTGGTTTCTCATAGCCAGCCTTCATGGTTATCTCACAAGTGACTTCTTACAGTTGGAAAGGTGCACTCAGGCTCCAAACAAGACCCCCTTATTCGGTTTAGTTGATAGGTTTGTTAATTAAGCCTATTTTAATCAAACCCCCATTCGCCTTCATGATACTGTATTTACTGAAGAAACTGGGTCATTTGTCCTATAGAAGTTCTCACGTTCTTGTTTGGGTTTATTGCATATTTGTGGTTTCATCTAACCTGTTTCTCCAGCCTCTGTATGGCCTGTAAAGTGGTAAATTAAATCTAGAGGTTTAAACTAGATTTGAGCTCAGTTCCGGGGAGCAGGGGGCTCTGTCCTTCCTATTGCATCACCTCTGGACACAGAATGTTTGGTTTTCCCACCTGTAGTCACGTGAAGTTTGAGCAGTGTGTCAGAGGAGCCAGCCGTTAGGAAGTCCCCATCAACCTTCTTTGGATTTTGCAGCCATTGGTGAACATTAGGAATGTTGCAATTAAGTGATTTTTAAAAAAGTTTTATCATTCCTTCTGCATTTATTAGTGAGAATTCTATAAAGGTGACCTCACTTGTGATTATTTGGTTACCCTGAAATACAGCTTGAACAGAAAAGGATAAATGATTCTCCCTCTGGATTAACCAGCTTTGAGAATGAGTTGGTGCCCAGCATCTTCCAGACATGACTGGTGAATGGACCTCTGCATTTTTTGTTAGAAGCTCATTAGATACGTGATGTGTTTGAAGCAGTTGCAGGTGTCATTTTGATGCCGAGTCCCCTGGCTTGGGCCGACGGGGCTCCTTCAGGTTGGCTCGGAGTATTTTGGACAACAGTCTGAAGGCTTCTTAGCTCTTTGCCATGACAAGATGTTCCGAGCTCATCTTGAACATTTCCTGACCCAGCCCTGGAGACAGGATTTCTCTGAGGCTCCTGGGTTCCTTTTATGGGAAATAGGAATGGTGATTTGGGGGTAAGGGGTGCTCATTTTATACGGTTGCTTCAACTCCTGGACCATTTTGATGTAGGGAACAAGGAAATAGATGCTTTTTTTTAAAAAATTTTTAAAAATGTTTTATTTATCTTTTTATTTTTTCCTTTTTCTCCCCAAAGCCCCCCGGTACATAGTTGTATATTCTTCGCTGTGGGTCCTTCTAGTTGTGGCATGTGGGACGCTGCCTCAGCGTGGTTTGATGAGCAGTGCCATGTCCGTGCCCAGGATTCGAACCAACGAAACCCTGGGCCGCCTGCAGCGGAGCGCACAAACTTAACCACGCGGCCACGGGGCCAGCCCCAATAGACGCTTTTTTTAAGGGGAGAAAAACCCTCAATGAATTATACTGCTGTTGCAAATTCAAATTTAAGGTCGTGTGTTTACTTATTTGATTTTAGATTTGATTCTCTGAGCCCTGGGTCCCTGATGACATTAATGACCTACCTACTTTATCCTGTGTGACAGTGAAGTCTGTCAGTATGACCCACAAGATGACCACCAAGTGAAGCTTTCAGAGTTTTTCTTTTTTTTAAAATAGTGTCACTCGTTTATAGTAGTGTTTCTCAACTTGTGGTCCCAGACTAGCAAAGTCATCATCACTGCGAAATTGTTGGAAATGTGAATTAGCGCTTTCACCCCAGACCTGCTGAATGGGGAATTCTGGGGGTGGAGCCCAGTGTTCACTGGTCTTTACTGGATGAATTCCACTCAAGAAACACAGTTACTGTACTGCAGAGTGTGACGTTGCTTGTCTGCGGTCTGCCAACAACGATGACTATGCTGTTAGATTCCTGTGTTCCAGCTCTAGATGCTGCTTTGCTTTTTATGCCCTTTTTTGTTCTCTCCCCAAAGCCCCAGCACATGGCTGTATGTTCTACTTGTAAGTCCTTTTAGTTCTATTTGGGATGCCATCACAGCATGGCTTGATGAGTCATGTGTAGGTCCGCGCCCAGGATCTGACCCGGCAAACCCTGGGCTGCAGAGGTGGAGTGCGTGAACTTAACCACTATGCCCTGGGACCACCCCCTTTTGTCCCTTTTTAATATAACTTTGTTATTATGTAAAAACATAGTTGCATAGTCAAAACTATAAAACCAGGAATGTTCAGGAAGTCTGACCTTCCATCCTTTTCACCCTGGTCCCTCCCTTGTATAAAGTAACTTTTTTAAAAATTAGTTTTTGATTTATCCTTCCAGTGTTCTTTTTTGAAAAGATAGGCATACATGCAGGTATATTCATTTTCTTATATAAGAAGCAAACAATACACATCAGTGCAGGCTGATTTTAGGGCTGTTATATGAATTTTTTCTTAAGAATGAAAAAGCATACGTTTCTCCTGAAAATTAAGTGACTCAAAAAACCTCATTTGGCAGGGTGAAGGTTGGTGCCTCTGCCTGTTTTTATTCACTCAGCACATGTTTATCGAGCATTTACCAGGAGCTAAGTGCTTAGTGCTAGTGCCAGGTGCTGGTGAACCGAAGGTGCAATTCTGACCCTCGTGGAGCTGACGTTCTCCGTGGGGGGCGCTGGAGATGGAGGGACACCTGGCAAACAGACACTTCGGACACAGTACAACAGTGGAAGGCATCCAGCAGGAGGCTGGGAATAACATGGAGCATCCACAGGAGCTGGACAGTCAGGCCAGGTTCTAAGCAGAGACCCAAACGATGAAAGTTGTTGGCCGTGCAAATGCCACTTGAGCCTTGAGTAAGTGTCCTTTAATAAGGCCTGGGACACGACCCTGAGGTTGGGAAGAGCTCCATGTGTTTGAAGACCTGAATGGAGACCAGCGGGGCTACAGAGCAGAGGCCTCAACCTCAGCACTACTGACACTGGGACCAGACCACTCTGCTGGGCTGTCCTGTACTCTGTAGGATGTTTAGCAACATCTCTGGCCTCTACTCACTGGATGTCAGTAGCAGCCTTTCTCCCCCAGTGGTAACAACCCAAAGCGTCTTCAGGCAATCCAGATGTCCCCGGGGGTCCAAAATGTCCCCATTGGAGAACCACTGCACCTGGGATGAGTGTGGAGTGCCTGGGGGAGAGTCAGCTGCTGCGTGAGATCTCAGTAAGGGTTGGGGGTTGGACTTCGTACAGTTGGGGGCCTTGCAAGGTGTTGGGGCCGATGGTGGGATCAGATTATGTTTTAGGATAACTGGGCGAAGTAGACTGGAGGGGCAGGTGTGACAAAAGGTTCCCAGTCTGTGAGTTTATAGAAAGTCCTGTCAAAGAAGAAGAAAATTGCATTTCTGCCCTTCACCCTTGTTCACCACGGTGAGATTTCACAGTCGCCTTTGCACACACATCAAACTCGTAGAGGCGTCATAGGCTGTGCCCATCAGGATCAGCGGGCACAGCTTCGAGCCGCAGCCTCCCCAGACCCTGGAGTAGGGCTGAGAAATGGGCATTTCTAACACGCACACCAGGTCATTCTTACTTACTCAGAGTGGGAAATGACTCGCGTCAGCTTCCTAGATGTTCGATTTGGAATCCCAAGTCACCTAAGATAGCGTCACACGGCACCTGTAATCTCATTTTACTGATTACTAAAATGTCCCCGAGCTACATGCTCACAGGCATCTTCTTGGTTTGTCAATGGACTAATTGCCATCCTCCGTCCCCCAGGGATTTTCCCGTTAACCCCCATGGGCCCCACATAGGGCTTTTAGGAACAGATGGACCTTTTTCTTCCATGGACTCTAAAATGTCAGGGCCCTAGGGTTCAGAGCTGTCATTCATCCAGTCTCGGGACTGGCTCAAGCCCCGCCCCCACCCCAGCCCAGGTGTGTCACACACCGCTGCCTCCTCCACATCTGCACCGGGTCCCTAAGTGGTGTCTGAACTCAACTCGCCCAGAACTGAAGGCAGCGCACCGCCTGCTTTCCGCCCGGGTGCCCGCCACAGCCTCTGTCTTCCCTACTCCACTGAACGGACCAGACCCTCTCAGTCACCCAGGACTCCTCTTTCTCACGTCCCCTCCAATCTAGGAGCAGACCTGTTGTCTCTACTCCTTCAAAACGTATCCAGACATACGGCCTTCTCCCATCACCTCCATCGCTATCCCTCTAGACCAAGCCATTTACTTTTTGCCCAGATGACAGCGACCACCTCCTGTCTCCCTTCTTCCCTGTTTAAGCTCTTCTTCAATCTAATCTGCACATGGCTGCCAGAGCTCTTTTAAAATAGGGATAATTTTACCCCCATCCTTGCTCAAACCTCCACTGACTTTGTATCATTCATAGAATAAAACCCAAATTCTTGCCCTGGCTTGCTTACAAGGCCTGATCCCGGCTTCCCCTAGCCTTCTCTCATTTATTACTGCAGCCATAGAGGACTTGGTTTTCCTTCTGGAAACTTCTAGGCAGCTTCTTTTAGGTCCGATGCCTGGTAACACTTTTATCTCAGCTAATCTGCCTTCCTCCCCGACTTCAGGTGCTTTAGCGTCACCTGGGCCAAAGTCTTTCCAGCCTTCTCCATCTCTGTATCTGGCAT